CCCCCAGGCCTCGAGGCTGGCTTCTCCGTGGGGGGTGGGGAGGCGGCAGCACTGGGGACCCACGGTCCCCTACCAGAAGGCTGGGTGGCAATTCGACTGCAAGGAGTTCTTTTTCTAAGTTTGTTTTTCCCTTTGGACAGAGACAGCATGTGAGAAGGGCACGGGCAGGAGTGAGGGCAGTGGTGGGGACAGCTCCTTGCAGGGTCTTCATGCCACGACTGGCCCCAGCCCCTGCCCCCGCCCCCGGCATGCACGGAGCGTCAGGGTGTGAGCCTGGGGCCTTCTGCATGGTCCCGCTGCAGACCCGGCCCTTGGGCAGTTCTGAGACCTGATGAAAGGCGACGACAGGGAACTGTGAGGGAGGGTGCGTAACGGGCGTGCGCCTCTGTAGGGCGGACTGGACCAGGGAGGGCACCGCTCTCACCACGAGCAGCTACGTGGAAGGGATGCTGAAGAGGGCGGCCCGGGGCTAGGACGTGGCCGGTGCCGCGGCGCACCTGGAGGCACGTGCTGTGGTCTCTCCCTCCCGGTCATGGGCCTCTTCATAGTTTCCTGTCTCGGTTTCTACAACTCCGCCTCACGAGCACATATAACTACTATTTGTCAATTAAGATAAAATAAGAATTTTAAAATAAATAACAAAGTTTTATGAGGAAGAAGTTAAACACCCAGGAAATGACGACCTGCCCACTAAGTGCCTGAACCAACATCTGTTCTGCTGTAGGCAGGTGCACTCGCCAGCGAGACTGGTGCAAGGAGAGAGGTCACCCCAGAGGAGATGGCCACAGCGCGGTTCCTTCTCCGTTCTCCCCCTCGGGGTTTTGGGCACATGCATGTGCGTGCACACCCAAACCCACATCACTTGCGTGGGCCCCCAGCGTTTTATTGAACAGTCACACAATAAGCGTGTAGAGACTCAGCGAAGGGGTGAGACTTCAAAAATGAAAGACAGTATAGCTCGGCTGCTGCGCTTTGAACTGCCGCAGGGCTTGTGCGGGCCAGAGCGCGGGGAGGGGAGGAAGCACCCAGAGGCGCGGCCCCCCTCTCTCTGTCCTGTCTGAATTTGGGGCACGCATGCGTGCATGCCTGGCACGTCTCACGTCCCTGAGGCCAGGGTTCAAACCACATACAACGGAAAACCGTGGCAACCAAACGCTGTTTCACTGTACTCCCCACAGGTCACAGCAGGGCGGGCAGGTGGAGAGAAGGTTGGGGCGCAGGACCCTAGCCGGCCACAGGTCCAGCCCCCTTGGCCCCCGCGGCCGGCCCTGGCTGGCTTGCTGCGGTGCGTCTGAGTTCTGTGGCACTTGTCTAGTGAGAGTGAGTTTGAGGCCAGCCTTCAGTGACGGCCTGGACCCCTCAGCTGAGGCTGGCAGCCTGGCCTGGGGCTGCTCGATGGCTTCTCCAGGAGCCCGCTCGGCGTCCAGCAGTGGCCGCCCTTGACCTCTACCCTGTCCAGACAGCACCTGTCACGCCGCTGCTGGGCTTTTGCTGTGGAGAATCCGAGACCCCGCCCAAGCTTGGCGTTGACAAAGGCAGCCCTCGGCGACCCACAAGCACCCCCACCAAGTCCGCCCGTGAGCCGTGGGTGCAGGGCCACACAGCGTCCCTCCTGTCCTCAGGGTGCCTCCCCTCCCAGCCACAGCCCACTCTGCTCTGACCCTACTTCTCACCCTGCGGCCCGGGACCGAGCTAGAGCAGACCCAGGGCACCTGCCGAGCCCTAGAGGGTAAGTCCCTCCCGGGCGGGCCATGCTGTACCGGCCGCAGGAGCCAGATCCCATGTGGCGGGCCGCCATTGGGGTCTTGGCCCAGCAACTTGGAAAGCAGGACACACATGTGGGTGTGCCCAGACCCCACGAGATGGGGAGGTGGACGGAGGGGCTGGGCTGGCCACGCCCCACTGGGCCACTCGGTCCTGCCCCCTCTCTCTGTCGCTCTCTGGTGTGCACAAGAACCTTCTAGTAATTTTTGTAAATCATTTTTAAGACAACTACTGTTTAACTTTTATACCTAAAAAACGGATCATGATTTCACTGCAGTCACTTCAGTCCACGTTGACATTCCCTTTCGCCTTTGGCAGTTTTTCACTTGCTCTCGTCACCCTGTCCACGGCGTCTTCCCTTCCCGTGTCTGATCTGGCCCACGTGGGCGGGCTGTACGGAGTAGCCACTGCTCTGACTGTGGGCGGCATTGGCCGTGCCTTGCAGTGGCCTGCAGTGTGGCCTTGGTGGCCACGCAGGTAAGGGCCACTCACCCCACGTGCTGTGGCCCACGCATGGCCTGTCTCAGTGCCTAGGTGGGATGGAGGGCCTCCTTCCTGCAGAGCCTCTGCAGAGTGGCTGCGGGACCCTGCTGGGAGGCCCTGCACTGCCCTGTCACACGCTCACTGTGCCCTGTACTGGGGCCCCACAGGGCTGCGCCCCTCCCAGCCCACGTCATCACAAGCCTGGCCTGCCGGACGGACGTGGGTACGTGGAAGCATCTGCAGAGATCGGCCTGAACGAGGTCCCCACGACCACCTTCTGTAGCCCCTTATGTTTTTTAAGAGTGATTTTTACTATAGGGTGCATGTGCTCACCACAGACAGAGGCAGAAAGTGAGAGATCACCCCCAGGGGGATGGCCACGTCGCAATCCCTTCTCCATTCTCCTCCTGTGATCTCGGACATGCATGCACACGAGCCCAGAGCCGGGTCCAGGACTTGAACTGTGGTTGACTACGTAGGAGTCCAGTGACATAACCATTCTACCATCTGCTGGTCCCACCTCCTTATTTCTTTAAAGGTTTTTGCCATAGGGTGCAAGCACTCATCAGAGAGAAACAGTGAAAGGGAAAGTGAGAAATCACTCCCCAGGAAGATGGCCACGTCGCAATCCCTCCTCCTGGGATCTTGGTCATGCACACGTACTCTCCCACTGTAATTTTCAAGCCACTGGGCCTAGGACTCAAACCATGGTTGGCCACGTGGGAGTCCAGTGCCTTAAGCAGCGCGCCACCTGCTGGCCTCACCCCCACGGTACTTCTGAGTAGGGTGATGCAGCTGCTCTCGCCCCATCTTGCATAGACAGAAGACAAGGTCTGGGAAATTAAGAAGGCTTTTCTGCGACCCAGCGGCATACTACCCACACCCCTGCTGGCCAGGTACCGGCCCACGTCCAGGGCTGACCTCCCACGCAGCCTTCCCAAACGCCGTCACTCACCCCCTAGAAGCACGAGGGACTTGCCCCTTGGCAGCAGGAGGGGATGGATCCGTGCGACACCCAGGGCGAAGGCTCGTCCGTGCCAGCTGGGACTAGAGGCGCGGGGGGACAGGAGGGCGTGAGATTAGGCTGATGTCAGGATTGTGCTTGATGCTGCTTATGACGTCCTCCGGGTCGGAACCATGAGGGCCTGGGTTTAGGCACGTGCAGGTCCTTGTGCGTCACCTGCAGCCTGCGACTGCTGTCTGTGAAGGAGCACGGCGTGAGGGAGGCTCGCTCCGTGGGCACGGCTGTCTGCGCACCGGGAGCCCCACCACGGCAGTCTCCTTCCGACACCTGGATGTGCCCCACTCGCGTCTGCGCTGGCAGGTCTCGGCTCTGCTCAGGCACCACGGCCCGCCGGAATGAGCGTCAGGACGGCTGGCGAAAGCTGAGTCTCCAGAGGTGGGCTCTCCGAGGAGACGCCAACCTGCGTTCCCCTCCCTGCAGGCTCAGGCTTCGGAGCGGCCACGAAAGCCATGTGCATCGGCATGCGGTATTGGCAGCCGGAGCGGCTGGCAACCCTGGTGGAGGTCAGCGTCGAGTGCGGCAGGATGACCCACAACCACCCCACAGGTAGCTGGGTGCGGGCAGGCCGTCGGCACAGCTGCTGAAACCACCGGGGACCCCGGGCAGGGGCCAGGCTCACGGGCCGGGCCGGGGTCACCAGCTGGGAGTCGGGTTCGTGTTCAGCTCTGCCCTGGTCTGTTCTCAGCCTACCAGTGGGATCAGTGGCAGGTCGACCGTGTGCGGGAGAAGCCCTGGCCCGGGCTGCACTCAGGAACTGGGTCTAATGACCTGTCCCCAGCCCCGTGAGCCTGCGTCCTCACCTGTGATGTGGGGCCGTGGGGGCCGTGGCACTTGCCCACTGGTCGGGTGCTGTGCCACAAGCCATGCACCCTGATGCCGCCAGCTGCTCCCAGGCCACTGCACGGCCCCCAACCCGCCGCCCGGAGGGAGACCGACGGCCTTGGGGTGGGCTGCCCACAGCCACTCCGTTTTTCTTGGCTGGCAGTCCCTCCTGCAGCCAGCCCTGGAATCACGGCAAGGCCAGTGACTGCCTGGCCCCACTCACGGCCCCTGGGCCCAGAGGTGGCCCGCTGCCCCAGGGCTGCACTCGCTTGGGTCTGTTTGACTACTCCCCGAGCAGCAGAGGAGCCTACCCGGGAGCCCTCCCGGAGCGTGCGTGGGCCAGGTCGGCGAGTCTCGGCCCAGGAGGGCATGTGGCCCCATGTCTGGGACGGGATGACATCACACGGTCGAGGGACCGCAGCCTGACACAGGGAGGGCGGGGAGCGCGAGGACACGGGCTGAGTGACCTCTGCGGCAGGTGCCAGAGCGCTCCTGCCCAGCACTGGTCCCCGTCTCATGTCCTCGGGCAGTGGCCGGTGTCGCACAGCCGCCCCCCCACCCCCGGGCCGTCGGAGCTCCACTTCTGTCGCAGCCAGTGAACCACCTGACCCCAGAGACTGCATGCCACACACAGGACAGTGAGGTGGCCCCCGCTGGCTCCTGAGGGCAGGGCCATGGCACAACAGAGCCCCAGAGGAGGCCTGGCCAGGGATCTGGGGACAGTGTCCACCAGCCGTGAGCACCAAGCCCGTGCCAGCCTTCAGCCCCCCACCAGACCAATCAGTGGTGCCACCCCCAGCTCCTCCTCCCCCCACTGCTGTCCCCCCTGCCACCCCTAGTTCCCTCCTCCCTCCACTGCTGTCACTGCCGTTGCGGACGGTCACCCTCGAGTGCCCTCTGTGTTTGGACTCACCAGCAGGTTCGCGGCCCACTTCTGCTGTCCTGGCTGTTTTCTGCCCACCATGACGGGGATATTGAGGCGAGACCGCATGCATCCCCTCCCCCTGTCCTGCAGCTGGTGCGTCCTCGCAGGTGCTCAGCAGCTCCTGCTGGGTGAGGAGACCAGGCGTGCTCAGACGGGGCACCCAGGGGTCGGGGGTGCTGTCTGTGGCCTCCTGGGTGCCACCTCTTCTCAGGGTCATTCCTGAGGACGCCGCCGTCTCCCTGCACCCTGGAAAGGTTGACAGCCTTCCCGGGCTCGGCGTCATTAACCGCATCTCCCCCAGAGCAGAGTCTCACACGCTTTCTCCAGTAAACGGTTCCTAAATGCGTTAAGGCAGAGAAAATGAACATGGCAACCCTCTCAGGGTTCACCAGGAGAAAAGGCCCAGGCCAGGTGGGGTGGAGCCCCCGGAGGGAGCCATGGAGTCTCAAGCCAGGGAGGACCCGCCACACCGGGGCCTCGGTAGTGAGATCTCTGCCGTGCCTGCTCCAATGGCTGCGCCCACACGCCCCACCTTGCGTCTCTGCACAGACGAGCAGAGAGTCAAAGCGGGGCCTGTCCACACGAGGGAGTATTCAGCCGCAAAAGGACGTGCCACTGCAGGGTGGCCTCGAGGACAGTGCGCCTCAGAAACAGCCGGACACAAAGGGATGGTGGCTGACAACCCACATCGAGGTCAGGTCTCAGAGACAGGAGGTCGGGAGGGAGCGGAGCTGCTGTCAGCTGGGGAGGGCTCCCATGCGGGAAGGCGAGGGAGTCTGAGCCGGACGGCGGGACGGCTGCCCTGCTGACAGGGAGCAGGCTGTGAGCACACCATGCACCTGAGGGGCAGGTGAGACCGCGGGGCCTGCCCAGGGCACTCAAGCTACCGGGCATCCTGAGCCAGAGCGGACTCGGCCCCAAGGCCTGGTGACTGGGTGGCCTCTGTCCCTCTCCCTCCCGGCTCCAGGCTTCCTAGGGTCCCTGTGCACCGCCCTGTTTGTGTCCTACGCCGTGCAGGGACGGCCGCTGGAGTGCTGGGGCAGGGACATGCTGAGGGCCGTCCCACTGGCCGAGGAGTACTGCAAGAAGACCATCCGGCACATGGCAGGTGAGCTGGCCTCCCCGCTCGCTCCTGCGCTGGCCCGCGGTGGCCGCGTCTGCCGGCTCCTCCACCCGGACAGACAAGCCTCCCCGGTAGGCATGAGCAGAACCGACCTCAAGCAGGCGTCCGGCTCAGCTGGGCCCGGTGGTTCGGGAGCCGGCTTCCACCTGGTCAGCAGTAGGATTCCACGCTTGCCCTGGAGGCTTGGACTGGCCAAAGCACACAGGCCCTGTGGGAACGGACACAGGTGTGAGGCCTCTGCCTGGCCCGAGCACACGCCTGCTCAGGACGGCTCACGAGGCGGGGTGCGTGCCTGCGTCCCTGGAGGCCAAGGCTGCAGATCTGCTGACCCCGGCCCGCCCTCGGCTCGGCTCATAGCTGCAGAGAAACCTCAGCTCCCCAGACCAAGGGAGGCCTGACCTGGAGGAGGCTGAGGCCCGCCGACGCCTCTGCCCGACCTGGGAGACCCAGCCCAGCAGAGCCCTGTGCAAAAAGGCCTCCTGGGCTTCCCACCTGTCTTGGGGACCAAACTGGGCCCCAGCCACTACCCACCATCGTCTGGCTCAGACACAAACGGGCCAGCAGGCCAGAAACCCTGGGGGCCGCCGTTTCTGGGGCCTGGGGGCCACTGTGGAGCCATGGGCTGACCAACACCAGGCAGCAGGCGCCAGTAGACCCCAGTCCACGGAAGCACCCTCGGCTCTCAGGGCGGGTGCCACTCGAGGCCGATGGCTTCGTGCAAACTCGGAGGTTCTCGGTTGCTGTGGAATTTTCTAGAATATCGTCCCAGGGTGTGTCCTGGAGGAAAGTGCTCAGAAGGTCTAGGCTAGATGTCAGGACAGCCCACTCCTAAACACTCAGTGCTGGAGTCTTCCTTGAGGGAGGCTTCTAGAAAAACTTCCAAGGAGGTTTGTCTGACGAGGCCTGGACACCGGGCCCTCCCACCATGGCGCTGCGGGTTCCAGGCCCCACGGAGCTGCCCCTGCTCCAAGCCTTTCACTCTGTCCTTTCCTAAACGGGGCAGTAAGTGGCCTGCTCTCAGTGTAGAAAGACCACGTCAGCCCAGCATCCTAAGGGCTTGGGTCCTAGCTGGTCCCAGAGCCTCATCCTGGACCTGCCCCTGCACCTCCTGGCATCCCCTGGCTCCCTGGGCAGCGCCGGCCCTGCCCCTCCACACCCAGTTCTCCAGGTGCAGAGGGGCAGACTCAGCCACCGCCCAGGACATCCCTCGGGCCTCGGCACCCCTGCAGGCCTGCAGGAGAGCAGGACAGACCAGCACCGCAGCAAGGCCCGGCCCGGACTTCTTCCCTCTCTGAGGACGCCGAGGTGGCCACAGACAGGACTTCACCAAAGGCCTGGCCTTGGGCCTCAAGCTCTTCCCTAGGAATAGGACACATGCCTCCTCGCAGGCCCCAAGTCCAATGAGTAGATGCAGCAGGTTCGGGGGGGTGGGGGCGCGTGGAAAGGACTACAGGTCCTGTCTGGCTTACGGCCGGTCTCCCGCTGCCCCTGTCCCTCCATCCTGTGCAGGGCCCCCAGCGGGGGCGAGAGGCGCCATCACCAGGCAGCTCCTGCTGGACGGCGCGGCCACTCACCTGTTCCCTCCGCAGAGTACCAGGAGCACTGGTTCTACTTCGAGGCCAAGTGGCAGTTCTACCTGGAGGAGAGGAAGATCAGTGAGGACACAGGTGACAGAGCCTCCTTCCCCGACAGCTACGGCGCGGCAGAGCGCGAGAAGGTGAGCCTCCCCCGGGCGGCCCACGCGGGGGGCCAGGAGAGGCGCGGTGGCCGACGAGGCCCTGCCTGTCGCGGCCCTGACCCG